TACCCATTTACGTAAAGAGGATCCTACCTGAGTCAGTGTTACAGAAAGACTCAAAGATAAAGACTGGAGATGAACTGGTAGCAGTTAATGATTTAATAATACATAATGTAACTAAGGACTATGCTACTGAAGCTCTTACTAATGTACAGGGAGCAGTGAGACTACTACTGATACAGGACCTATGAATGATATGATATGAGGAGACTGTATTGAATGAATGAATCTAGTGATTGGTCTCTTTATATCTTCTTTATTTCTTTGTCTTGTGTTTTATTTCTGTGTCTTTTAAGAATATGTTTTTTTGTTTAACTAAAAATCATAATCTAATCATCAATGAGATTCATGCTCTGAGCTTCTGACTGAGTCACGTGATTTATATAGTTGCAGCAGACATTTAAATTTCGAATTTAAATATGGCAACTCCTTTTGTAAGAGAATCAAAACGACACCAGCCACTACTAGGTTAGTCACTGTATGTTGAGTCTTCTATACTATACTTCTTAATTATAGATACCAGTCATCTTATTGATATACTTGATTTACTAAAGAAGCATGGATATTCTGGTGTTGATTTTTATGATCTTGGTCTTCGTCTGGGTCTGCTCCCTGGCACACTTGATATTATTAAGTATGATAACAAAGGAGATGTTAGTAGCTGTCTAAGAGAATGTTTGAAGGCATGGTTGGAACAAAAAGATAATGTAAAGAGTAAAGGTGGTCCAACTTATGAGATATTAATACAAGCATTGAGGAGGATGGGAAAGAATGCTGTAGCTGATGGGATTGAAAGAGAAGTAACACCAAGTAAGATTATTTATAGATTTTATAGATCTATGTATGATATTTCTAATAGGAACAGAAGTATACGCCATTAAAACAGTTGCGCCTATATTGCGTAAGCATTATTCTATTTTACGTCAGGCTACTGAAGTTTGCTTACAAACTATTGCTGCGGAACTTTATTCTATGGGTCTTATTAGCAGAGATGTTAAACGTTCACCCACTTTTGATAAAATCGAAAATCAGTTTATAGCAGTACTATCTCTTTACGAAGAAGATATGGCCAAATTAGAAGAGAATTGTCGTATATTTGTACATTGCCTTGCTACACCAGGTGGTCCAGCTAAAGATGCAGCCATTGCACTAGCTGAAGATTGGGAACATGAAGTATTGAATAAACATAATCTGAAGTGGTCTCTGAGTATAGCTGATGGGATTGATAAAGAAAGTAAGAACATTTATAGACACTTAATGATTATTATTAGCTAGTGCGATTTGTGGGGTGTGTTTGTCTTGAATTACTGTTGTATAAACTGTTCCCATGCACTCTCAGGCTTACTAATACACACCCACAATTTTTTTATACCAGATTAAAGCCCTTCTTTGCAGAGTTTTCCTTGCAAAAAATATATAGATTGAATTTACTAAACTTTGCAACTTGTAGGCTAAGCTTATACATGTTCACTCCATTCCTCAGTTGGCTAACTACAGACAACCCACCTCTGATGAACCTGTCACTTCCATTGGCTTGATTAAATTAATTTAATTTACATAATTTATTTTTACTTTCATTATTGCAGGATCGCCTATTACTGCTAACCCTATTAGCACTCCAGCTGCTGACAGAATACCAGACACTCAAAATCCACTCACAGAAGGTACATACTGTATGCCTAGAAATATTTGCAAGAACAATATTGTGTAAATTTTTACCTTTTTGAGAACTTTTAACAACTTCAACTTAGTATTATTTAGATTTGTAGCATGGTGTGTGGGCGGATCAAAGGCGCCGCCAGTGCTACAACTTCCAATAACCGCATGGTAGGAAATGTAGCACTGTGTGGAATATGTAGTACTGTACAGTATAAATATGTATGGGCTTTCCTGTTAACCACAAGCTTTGATAGAGGCAAATAACAGCCTCAGCTACATACACTAGACATGTAACAATAATAATAGTGATAAATGAGATCTGATCTTGTGCTGGCGACCTGCCTGACTTTTGAAATTTCATTTGATCCGCCCACGCACCACTACAAACCAATCAAAGCACTGTTGATTTGTAGATTACGGAAATTATTGCACTCGGGACGGTCTCGACGAAAATGTAGCACTCGGCTTCACCTTGTGCTCATTTTCCTCTCGACCGCCCCTCGTGCAATAATTCCCATAACCTACAATGATGCATTTTTATGAGACACCTGTAATAATAATTTATATGTATTTGTACTGCAGTAATACATCAGCCTTTCCATTATGTACTGTCTTATCATAGTCACTCCCTCAGTAGCTATTCCTTTTGACAGATTTTTGGTTGAAAGGCACATTTTATTGGCTGCATAATCATTATCAGAATATCTAATATCTGTGGGGTGTGTATGCCTTGAAATACTATATACTAGATACTCTTGTATAAACTGTTCCCATGCACTCTTAGGCCTACTCATACACACCCACAACAACTGATACCAGAATACAGCCCTTCTTTGCACAGTTATTTCTTGCAAAAATTTAATATAGGTTGGATTCAACTAAACTTTGCTACTTGTAATGCATGGTATTAGCCTTCTAAGATTCAAATATACCATAACCATTGTAACATCCAACCTTTAGACTGTAGTAACATTGTAATTACTGTTTTCATCATGTAGTCACTCCCTCAGTAGCTACAGACAACCAACCACTGATAAACCTGTCTTAACTCAAAAAATTTACATATTTTTTGCTTTCATTATTGCAGGACATATTGTTCCACCTACTGCTAATCCTATTAGTACTGAAGACACTCTAGCTGCTGACAGGATACCAGACACTCAAAAACCACTCGCAGAAGGTATGTATCAATGGCTGAAAATATTTCCAAGAACAATATTTGGGGGTCAGGAGGCTTGGCTTCTCAATGAAATTTTTAACAGTTGCTTTTTAAAGTCTATTTGATATTACAAACTTCATTATGCATGCAACTCTTGTGGGATTGCCCCCAATTCAAATTTCATTTTTTTTGTGGGATTTAAACCATATTCACAAAACCACACAAACTAATTCCTCACAAACTTGACCAGCCATGCAGTAATTAATAACTATTTTTATAACATAAGGCCATAATAAATAGTGAGCATTATTGATCTTAATCTTCAAGTGTTCACACTAGCAGCTGAATTATGTATCATTTTGTGTTCTTGTTGCCATTGGTCACACTAGCATCAATTCATATCAATCCACCTCAGATAAAATCCTAATTGATTGATGCCCATTAATTTGGGACTACCCTAGTGTGAACACTATGCACATTACTTTTTCCAGTGTTAAAAGGCATATAGTGATTACTGTCTCATATGTGGTGTTACTTTATTTAGGAAAAATAGAAAAATGGTTGAAAGAAGGTGAAGTTGATCTGAAAATCACTCGTATCAATATGCATGGTGCACCTGGAGCTGGTAAAACATGTTCACTACGCCTTCTACTTAATGAGCGACCACCTGAGAACGATAAAAGTACACCAATAGCTTGTCGTGCTGTTCAAGCAACAAGAATATCAGTTGATGATAAAAATAAGTGGGAGAGAGTTAAAGAAAAAGATTTACTTAACCATCTTGCATATCGTTTAAATGAAGCACCAAGTGAAACAGAGCATATAAAAAAAGCACCAATACCTACAAATGCTGCACCTGTTCGTTTAGATGATTCTTCACCAAAAGCAGAACTGTCTGAGAAAGAACTGCCTGAGAAGAAACCACCTGAGAAGAAACCAACAGATATGGAAGTAATAAAAGAAATAGTAAGTGCTCTTGAAGCAGGAAAGTTTAAACAGTTAAGTACAAATTGGGTTTATTTTATTGATTCTGGTGGTCAACCAGCATATCGAGAGTTGCTACCTCTTTTTACAAGAGCAGCTGCACTGAATATCATCACCATTGATCTTACCAAACGTCTTGATGACAAGTGCAAGTTTCAATATCGTATTAATCAGCATACGCCTCTTATTGATACAGATCTGAAATATTCCAATCGTGATATAATTTGCTCAACAATTTGCTCTGAAGCTATGTCCACTTCCATTGAAATTCCTTATGCCTCTGACATGCCCAAGCACTCTCATTACCTCATACTTG